GGAGGCACTTCCGAAATAGATAGATTGAGTAATAATGAATTTATCGACTATTTCACGACAGTAATAATATATTTTCGAATCCAGCTATTCATGGAGATTCCAAATATTGAATGATATATATAGGGCCGAAGAGAGAAAAAAATCAAAAGTCGTCTCCATAAGTTTATTGGTGAAGTGTGCAGTCACTTTTGCTTCATTACTTTTGATTGAGATATGTTTCGACCATTCAAATGGTCATCATCAATGACAAGTTATACAATACTTGTCATTTTTCACACAGCTGTTCAGTAAGAATAATTTTTCTTTGTAGATTTACTTTGTTAGTCCTATGATTGTGCGGAAATTTGCATTCGATTTCGCGATTAGATAAATTCATTTTTACTCAAACTAGGTAGTTTTTCGAGATCTACCATTGGTATCGGATGGCATAATTCTTATCTCGTTATCAAATCGAGAAATCGAGTGCAAATTTGCGCACAGTGGAGTGCAATTTTTCAATCATTCCGCTCAGGATAGTGATTGGCACAGGTGCCATTCGATAAATTTCAATATTTTTACATGCCTTTGAAATATACAGGGTATGTCACGACGAGCTCACACTATCTTTATATCGAGAATCAGTCGGAAGGAATCCATGAAAATGCATGCTTATATTTCAGAATACGCTCTCTTCATTTAAAATATTTTCGACAATGCATCGCTGCCGCTTCTACTAGAAAGTAGTAGCAACATTGCTATCGCGAATACACCCTGTATTTTATATTTTATAGATTTTTCCTGGAGAGCTGATTTCATCGATGTATCACACTTGGGGTCTATCGAAAATGATTGCAGAGATATTAGGTGTTCAAAATCGAAATTTTTCAATTTCACGATTTTTCTGTGTCGAAACTATTCAGTATCGCTCAAAACGGCTCACATGTCCATAGCTTAACTTTTGATTAACCATTTACTGATATTTAATATGAACAGATACAGGTTAGTTCAAGATTCAGAATTCTGATCACCCTGTATCTGTTCCGATTAAATATCACTAAATTGTATATCAAAAGTTGAGATAGGGACATGTGAGCCGTTTTGGCCGATAATGAATAGTTTCGATACAAAAAATCTAGATTTTGAACACCCTATATCTGTGTAATCATTTCCGATAGACCCCAAGTGTGATGTATCGATGAAATCAGCTCTTCTGGGAAAATCTAAAAATGCAATGAAATAACAAAGTTGTTGCTACATTTTGATAGAAGCGGAAGCACTGGATTGCTGAAAATATTTTGAATGAAGAGAGTGTATTCTAAAGTATAAGCTTGCATATTTTCATGGATTTCTACCGACTGATTCTCGATATAGAGATAGTGTGAGCTCGTCTTGACATACCCTGTATATCATACGTCCATAGGTATTCAAAATGAAATTAAAACACTTACCCTCTTAAAAATTAATGGATTTCCCAAAATATAGTCCATACCGCCGGCTTTTCAATGATTACGATTTTCCACTCACAAAACATTACACACAAAACACCATACACAAATGCAATTTTATCACTGAACTAGACGGGGGAAATTCATCTTCACTTAAATCGACCGCACTCTATGAAATCTGAAATAAAACTGAATGAGTCTTGATGCTTGATTCACCAACCCGAATGACTAATTAGTTATATCACCTTTCTAACCGACTAACCCTCGAGCAGGTGTTTTATCTATGACTAAGAAAGATATCGGTGGTAGTATACGAGATGGTGGCGAGAAATTTAATTTTAATACAATAGAAACCAATATACAGGGCCATTCAAGGCACTTCCGTGAATTTTCATTCCAAGTATATGGAAAACTAATAAACTAAATATATCATGTGATAACTTGGCTATGATGTTGCCTACCTCTATAACCGTTTCTTTGATTGTTATGATAAGACCCGCGACTTGAATGAAAATTTCTCTGGTTATTTGGGTGATAACCACGATTAGAGAATGTACTATTATTTCTACCACGAATGTGAAACATCTGAGATGAAGAACTACAAGCTTTTGATCTTTCCTCATCTTTTGCTCCACTTATAGCATCTTTCAGATTACTATAGTTTCTTGATTTGACTATGGTACGTAATTCACTGTTCCTAAGACCATTTGCAAAAGTATTAATTGCAACTTTCTCGTTAACCTTTCTCAAAGTTCCTAGTGCATTCTCATCATGATCCGCTTGAGCTAAAGTTAAGTTAACCATGAGTTGTTCAATCGTTTTTCCAAAATCGTCAATAGATCTATCATTTTGTTTCATACTGTGCAACTCCAGAGACAATGAAGTTGCTGATTTTTTTGTTATTAAATGAATTTTCATGTCGTTTATCAAATCTTCCGTGGTGTTATATGATTTGTCCAAGCGTAACTTAGCATTTTGTGATATTTTTACCTTCAAAACATAGTTGACGAGGAGCTTTTTGCCATCACCATCCAATAATTCGCTGTACAGTTCAATAGCGTCAATTAACTGACTGGTCATGTCCTCAGTGCCATCCATAGAGGGCAACAAGGACGTCGCTGTCCTGAGGTCGAATTTCTCACTCATTATTGAGTTTCCTAAAGCCAACTGATTCTCAGAAATGCTTTGTAACCTACCTAGCAATTTTGAGCGGGTTTCTACAATGATAGCTTCGGTACTTTTCACTAAAATTTTGATTTGTTTTATAATGTCTGGATCATTTGGTCCCCTATTAAATTCTTCCTTGATATGACCTAATTCTTTAGCTAAGTTAGAGATACTCTCAAGTTTGTCATTAACTAGTGTCAAATTTTGACGCCTCTGTTGATTATCTTTGTCAACGTTTCGTTTAAAAGCCTTCACGTCCTTAAATATTTCACTAAACCTATCAATAAAATTCATCTAATTATTCCTACTACCTATCTATATACTATAAATACTAAAATCTCTGCTTACATACAATCTTCAACTCGCAGCATCTTCTACTCTGCTCCGTTTCTCCTTCTTCTTAGTACTTTTCTTCTTCCAACTTCATTTGATGCGCTTGGCCTCACAATTTTGTCCTTTTTTTCACTGTCTATGTACACTGCTCTGCAGCACTTTGTCTATAGTCAATCGGTTGCGTTTTAAACTTGCTCTTGGCTTCTAGCTAACTCACGCCGAATTTTCTTCTCCAGCATCACCTTCATTCTACTATATATCCATGCGATAACCGCCACAATGAGTATACAAACGGCAACAACTCCAACAATTTCTCCGAGGGTGAAATTATGACCTGTGGCACCATCACCTGATACTCCACCGCTGTTTCCTGCTTGGGATATAACAACCTCTTCTTTCGACTCCGTAGATCCCATGTCTAGGTTTTTTAGTACTTCAAAGTCGTAAGATAGTTCTGTTGATGTCTTTTCACGATGATCTTCTCCTTACAGGTAATTAACTGCCATTGCTTGCACTAGCAGGATCGCCATGTGATAACTTGGTATATGTATCTATCAAGTTATCGATTCATCAAGAAAACCTCATGAGAACACTTAGATATAGATTTATTCTATTCTAAAAAATACATCCATCTATCAAGAGAGTTGTATCTAGATTATTCTAAAATGTTTTACTAAACCATGCCCCTGAATATTTGACGTGCTTATTATAATAACATTTCCTAAAACTATAACAATAATTACCTTGAGAAGGTGTACTAGATATTTTCGATGTTTTAATTGAATTTGTTTATGTTCCACTTTATCTATCCACTACAATCACACGAAGTCTAATTTTGTTTCTGAAAATATGAAATTGATTGAAATTGTGGTCATTGAATTATCTAATCCAACTATAGTTGAGCTGAAACCAGAAAGATGATCGAAAATATCGATTGTCAGTTGACCTGACAGCAAACTAGCATTGTTAAGTATACAGGGTATGTCACGGCGAGCTTACACTATGACTATATCGGGAATAAGTCGGGAGAAATCCATGAAGATATGCATGCTCATATTTTAGAATACGCTCTCTTCATTTAACATATTTTCAGCAATGCAGTGTTGCCGCTTTTATCAAAAAGTAGCAACAACTTTGGTCTCTCTCATATTATTGAATAAAATTTCGAAAATTTGTATCGCCACCCATGGATTTTCTGTAAAATTGATATATACAGGGTGTTTCATGATTGAATGTCAATATTTGGAGAGGGAAAAAAGCTTCATATGAACGTATGACCTAAACATCCTAACTTTTGAGATACAGGGTGGTAACGTTCTCCAAAATTAATTGTTTTTATCAATATCTGAATATCTGTAATACCTCTTCAGAGGCTTCACTATCAAGAGGCATCAATTAAGTTAGTGTACCACATTTTTTTTGGTTGCCACCAGTGGCGTTCGTATGGAATTTCAGATACCTATTTTGGCAGACATTGATGGTACGCCACTGATCAATCTCGAAATTGAATTCTATCCTGAAATTCCCAATCATTCCTAAGCAAATTTGATCACTACAATTTTTTCAATCTCATGCATGGTTTTCGCTTAAAATAAAAAGCTTTTCACTACATGATTCCAGCAATATCGTTAATATGACAATATCACAATGCAGAGAAATATATTTCATTCCTTAGATCAAGTTTCAGCAATTCAATTCAGAGTTTATGAACTCCTTATTCGTATTCGGTATTTTGGAATTATAACTTCTCATCGCAGTAGGCTATATTAATTTTTGAGAATTTTACCACCCTGTATCTCAAAAGTTAGGACTTTTAGGTCATACGTTCATAATATGGAACTTTCTTCTTAGAATGGGTTCAAGAATCGCCTCCTCGAAAATTGAAATTCAATTATGAAACACCCTGTATATTCATTGATATTTACAAAATATATAGGTTCGATTAGGATTGTCAGCGTATACCTTTTAGTGATTTGAGAATTATCTCACAGTCTGAGGGATAACCTGCTGAATAATATCCCGTACAGGGTGTCTGGTTGTAAATCGTTGAGTCTGATGAATGCTCATTTTCTCCAGATTGGAAATATACGCCAGCCGACTGGCCGAAGTGGAACTCCGCGCCTCCTCGCCCCAAGACGACGACGAGCACCGCCTCATCGCCGACTACTGCCACTCGCTCGACGGGGGCAGGCAGCCGCCCGCCGTGGGCGGTCCCGCCAGCCCCGGGCAGCTGATGCTCGTCATCGACGAGGAGCAGCGCGCCGAGCTGCAGGCGATGATCGGAGAGCTGGAGAGCGAGAACGGGGCGCTGCTGGCCGAGTACGAGCAGCTGAGGGGCGGAGGTGGAGGTGATAGGGCGGCGCAGCAGCAGCAGCAGCACGACGTGCTGGCCGAGGCAAGGTTGCTGAGGTGAGTAATTTATTTTTTCTGCAACCGGCACTAAAGTCCATTTTAATACCAAAATCAGCTCTTGAATTGACGTTTCTATTACTGACACAAAAATAGGTATGTTGCTAGGCAACATATTTAGTTCCTAGGAGCTTAAGTTGAACTTCAGCTCCTAGAAACTGAAAAGGGTGTACTGGACGTCATCAAGAATAAACAACATTGTGACGGTTGGTTATTTGGGTTGAGACGCATACCTGATTTGTTTCGACACTTCTGTCATCATGAATTGATTGATTTGTATATTGTGAAACTGCATTTGAAAGTTTTGATAAGAAGTACGTTCGGAATATGAAGAAGCATATGATAACATTGGAATTCAAACAGGATATTATATTGTTATTTGTTTTATAATAGTGATGAAGACACTGATTACTTGGATTGCACAGATGTTTTAGGTATATTGACGGCAAAGGATGCATGTTGAAGCAAATTTCTTCTACCTCCCACGAGAGTTAATATTTTTTCCTCCCGTTGGAGTAAACGCCTACTTTTGATTCAGTGAGTAGATAAAAGCTTTTTATCTGTTCATTGTCAGAGTATTTCACCTGAAGAAGCTACAGTCTTAGCGAAAAATGTCATGTGATGCAGAATATTGTGGAAATCTTTTCGTTTGTGGAGTTTTTCACACATTTTTAGTTCATATATTATGTTTACTATCTTGATTCGAAACGAACTTCTATCTCGTAATAATGAATTTTGTTCGTCTCTTTGACAGACAGCACAAAGGGCGGCTGGAGGCCCGCATGCAGATCCTCGAGGACCACAACAGGCAGCTGGAGGCGCAACTGCAGCGGCTGAGGCAGCTGCTCGACGAACCGCCTACTTCGACGTTGCAGACGCGCAGCGTGACCGCCTCCCAGCTCAACCAGGACACGCCGGGCAGGATGAGCCAACCGCCGCCTCCGGGAGATCACCGTTAAAGTTCGTATTAATGAATAGTTTATCGACTGTATATTATATTATGATATAATTGAAATATCGGGGAATTGAGCACTTAGGCTACAAGTAAACTACTTTTTATAGCTCAGTAAAAAGGTAACGATTAGGACCCAATCCGGGAACAAATTCAAGAAGTCGGTTTCTCTGTGGTTTATTGTGTTATTGGAATGGGGAAATTTAGATAAATCTCAACTTTTTCCGTACTTTCGACACCCTGTATCTCAGTGAGGATGCATTTTAGGACATACGCTGATAGGAACTTTTCACCTCAAAATAAGGTGAGGAATCCGAGTACGAAGTTTGTCGGTATTATACTGACTCACCCTGTATAATGCGTCCCATTGGTTATTCACGAAATCCGATAGATTTCACGTGTGAATAAAACCGTGGTGTGTGGATATTAGAATTGAAAGTCGACGATGAAAATCAAAATGTACCTCGGTGAAAAAAGGTTCTATTGTCTTGCCTGCTTGCTAGCCTCGGCCATGCCTCGGCTGAAGACAGTTTTTCGTCCTAATTAAATACATAAATAACTATTATCGCTATGCCGAGCTCTCAAAAATATGTGCTTATTTTGTCCCTCAAGGTAAGAAAACAATATGGGATATGCATGTGAGGTGTTGCGTGTCATTTAAATTGTAGCTATCTTATACCCCATATTGTTTTGAGACTAGAAGAAGAAGATAAACATTTTTGAAAGCTTGGCATAGCGATACCATAGTTTACTTGTAGTCCGAATGTCTAAATTCTCCGATATTTCTATTATATCGTTCCTATTAACTTTACACAATGTAGTGAAAAGTTCGGAGAATGTTTGGAATGATTTCTGGATTCGTTCTTTGGACTCATTATTCCAAGGAGAGGCAATATTGCATTCATAAAACTATATATTCGTTTTGTCCCAATGATTCTGTGATGGTATTGCCAATGACGTCATATACACACCGGCAAAAAAAACGGCAACAGGAAAATGTTGCCAAATTGATCACTCTGTAACTCTTATAGCGTTTTCCACTCGCCGATTCACAGATCGCACTAGCACAGAGCAAGTACAAGTGGCACTGGCTCGGTTCTTCCATAATGTGCGGTCCCAGTACAGAGCAATGGAATAGAAATAGAGAGTTGGTGCGACCTTCTTGTCATCAGAAATGTCAAAAAAATTGTTTAGTCAATCAAAAAGTTGAAGTATAGAAAGTACATTTGGTTCCGTTCGTCCACATGATATGGATACATCTACCTCTTATTGTGGTTTCCCTGTGAACACTGTCAGAAACCATCCAGAAACAGTCTTATATATGAATGTTCATTGTCAATGATGTTCAATTGAATCATTCGACAGTAGTGATGAAGCATTGAAATGTCGATCACGAAGTTAGTATTTTTCATCATTACTGAATCAACAATCAAATATGTTTAATACCTGCACATCTCAATAGTTTCTTTAACTTTTCGGTAATTTTTATCTTCCGTAAACGCTGTTTCGTAACGAAGTACTTTTGTATCTCAATCATCATTTCTTCATCATCGGGTGTATCCGAAATATCTATGATTTCGGAAAGTATTGTAACAATAGTGATAAACTTCAATTAGACATTCCTAATTATTCAAATTCCAAACATTTTTCCACTCGTGACTCGAATATTTGAGGTTATGTGTATCGCACCGTCGTACAAGCACAGTTTTGAAAACTCGAACTTTGAGCGGGTATCGAGCAGGTTTGAAAGCCAGTGGAAATCATTTCTCGACAAAATTTCTTTCTTGAAATTCTCAGTGCACCACTCAAAACGACTCAGTGGCGAAAAAGTTCGATCTAGTGCGACGAGTGGAAAACGCTATTAACTTTTCTCCGATATCGAATAAAGTTCGGCCAAATCGTTTATTCATGTTTCGTAATGTTATCCTGAATTTAAGTTCTCAAGAAAAACTGATGACTCGACCATTATACAGGAAAAAACAAATGTTAACTCTATCATCTTTACCTTTCTTACGCCCTGTGACGAAAGTAAGTGGTTAACCCCAGCTTCATTATGTTTTGGATTGAAGTGTGATCCCTTCTTAACACAAAATAGTTTTTGACTGACGTCGATATCTTATTCTTAGGAGAAGAATAATTGTCCTCCCAAGTTTGTATGTCAGTGTGTAGATTGATGTGTTTGGGGTAATAAATCTATGGTTTGCACTGTCCCCAGTGGTAGTCACGAAATTGTTGAGATGATTCGAAGGCTTTAAGAAAAAAAGCGATTGAATTTCTCGAAAAGTGTTTGACATATCTGACAGATCTACATGAATTCTCCACCAAACGTTACTCGTGTCATAACAGGATTTCGTGATTTTTTGAAACACAACCTCACTTTTTTACTTGGTCACAGAGGAATCAAAGGATTGAACTAGTTTTTCACAATATTTTGGCATACGAATCGTGTTTTTTGCGCTATTCATTAATTCGAGCATGCCTTCGCATTGTGCTGTTGTACAATGCACAAAAAATGCAGCAAGAGACTAGAGAATATGATTTTTCAGGTAAATAGTAATCTCACATAGTTATCATTATGAAATGTTGTCATTCCTTATTGAAATTCCTTCTGCCTTCTGTCACTTCTGCAGTACAAGCTAATACTGCTAATAGATTGAAAATGTCTACAACACACACGATCGTCAGCATGTGAGACCAGTCCTCCCTATTGATTGCATGAATCCAATCTTCTTGGATTATTTTAGAAATTTCGGGTGTATTTCTATTAGCTCCTATCGCAGAAGAAATTCCGATGGGAAATCAGAGAAATTACCAAATTTCAAAAATGAAAACTATAATATGTGAGTGACTATAGTAGGTACTTACTTTTGAATCATATTCAACCGGATTACTTCGTCTTCCGCTGCAGTTTTTGTGCATTTCACAACAGCATAATGTGATGGCATGAGCGAATTGATGATGAGCGGAAAAATACGATTCGTATGCCAAAATAATTGTGAAAAACTATTTCAATCACTTGTAAACAAATAAGTAAAGTGACGTTTGTGTTTCAATATTTTGCCTCCAGTGTCGGTCATCTGACAGTTCTTGCACGCAACCCATAAAACGATTCGGACAGCATGATATTTTGACGTGATTCGAGGTTATGTAATGTGAACTTACCAAAGTTACACCACTAAACATACCATTTCTTTGGTTGGAAAAAACAAAGTTGTATTAACTGCAGTAGGAGTACTGATACTGCTGACAGTTGAATTCGGAATGCAGCTGTTTTTGACCATAGATTATCTCACATGGAGAGTGACATAGGAATGTTGCCTAAGATGTACAATGTACAATCCAGAACTTTGCTTATAGAAAGACATTCTGGGTTTTTATGGACCTTAACTGAAGGTGAAATGTCAACTTTTTTGACTTGCAGAGTTATGTACTTATGAGTGGAAAAACAAAAATGTTTTGTGCATTTATCCTTGGCCACTTCGGACTTAAAAGGCTTTTCGAACTTATATATCGAAAGTTTCAATAAATGACAATCGTTGTTTAATATTTTTTCCTATGGAAGATATGCACAGTGTATCAATTTCATTTAATTTGATGAATACGAAGTATTAGAAAACGCTTATTATACCTATCAATTGTTGTGTTTGGTATCATCAGAGGTTCAAGAGAATTTTGACTGATCATCAAAGTCTTGACTTCGAAAGGATTTGAATTAGTAATTTATGTAATAGAAACATTCATTGACTGTCATCGTTGGTTAGATTAGAAGACTGCTTCTCTTGCCATTGCCGTTAATCATCATTCATCATCCATTCGTTGTGTCATGACAAAATAATGACAAGTGTTTTTGTGATATAAACTGTTAAAAATCGGATTTCATATGCCATCAGCAATAGACTGTTATCAGATATATATTTTTGGGACAGTTTCAAGTTGAACCCTATTACGAATTCATCATTTTCACAATGGAATGTTGAATCCTGAAGTAGTATTCTTTTTTATAAAAGTTATTGAAAACTGTAAATCCAGCAAATTAAATTCAAATGAAAATTTATAACATCAAACAAATTCACAGGCTTTACCAGCTCTATTTAAAAATATTTGAAATGATACTGTGTAATGGTAGTCCATTGCCTAAGTTATGTGTTTTCAATCTCTATGAAATTCGATTTTTTATGAGGGCATTATTTGATTATTCAACTGTTACCTTAGCCTCCACCAGAGATTGAAGAATCGATACTTAGTGAAAAAATGTAGAACCTGTCATTCTCCCAGACGTACCATATCAGATTTTGTAATTAAAGTTCATAAACAAACCATATCAATATTGACTTCAAGAGATATCTCAAAGCTAAAAACCACTGTACAATTCTATTAAATCATATATTATCTTTCCTAACCTCGAAAATACTCAATTCGTCCCCTTGTAAAAATATGGGATGATTTCTTCTGGCCAATATCCGTTAATGGGGAGTGTATGTATTAGGTTTAGAAGGTTTAGATTAAAAATGCTCTGATATTCATCATACTTCATTACGTTCATAATCAAATTGTCCATTATATGGGATTGAGAGAGTTTGCTTGTGTGCCCATACATAATAGTGATTGTAATTCAAGATCCATATCAATATACACATCATGTTTGTTACGTTTAGTAGGTAGCCGAGCCTAAATATTTATTTTATTAATGTTGTTATAAGTTGGCGATATAGTGGTAGGCGTACAACAATAAAAAAACGATTCTAAAGTGGTAGTTTGATTATGAAAGGAGAGTAAGAATCGAACTCATATTTATAGCATTCCTATTCGAAGATTCCATATCCTATATCCTGGTCCTAGTTTCATTTATCGTCTTCATCTAATTAAAAGATTGCCCAACATGAGCAATGCTTAGATAAGCACCAGGACGAACGAAGCAAAGGCATTTTGTGAACCGATGGTGTCTGAATGCGAAAAGGTTATGGTGTCCATGATAAGGATCATTAGCTTCATTCATATATCTACTACTCTATACAGTGTGGAGACTTTAACTAGAATAAATTTGATAGACGGGAGCCTAGGTGAATATAACTTTTTTAAATTCCTGTCATACGTCAACGATTTAATGTATTTACCTACCTTCTGCAAGCAATATCGAGAATATATCCCTCCAGGGGTAGCTGAAAGAACCCTCAACATAATTTATTCAAATGTAACCCTATGCCATGTGACCCCTCATTGGAAAGCTGGTGGAAAGAGGGATCCAGCGTACTAGTTAAATTTTAGTTTTTCAAACGTTTAAAGGTTGCATAAAGTTGAAATGTAATTTTTAAATTATTTTTTTTCTCAACGTATCAATCGCTCAAAATGTGTGTTGAACAATTAATGGCAATTTTTTGTCATGACTGCTATCTGCTATTGTATTCCAGTTTTTTTATGGAGCCGCAAAAAGGAATTTAGAGTTTCTGCAGTATTCACAGTTCGAAACGAAGTGTTATTGCAAACTGGTGGAAATTGAATCAGTGAATGACGAGTAGTGTAGTGTAGTCCTATCACGCTGAACAGATTTGAGTAGATCACTTTCACCACATTGAAAAAGGAAACATATACCTAGGTTAACCCTGACCTATATTCAATACCAAGATCTGAAGCAATAATTTTGGATAAAAGGGTGTGAGTTTCGAGATTCCAATGAACTGAATGAAATCATTATCGCAGTTCATTTCATTATCATCTGCAATGGCTTTTTCCTGTTCCTCAAAGTTACTGACAATATGCTTTGCTATATTTCAACCACATTATAAAGGAATAAATCGAAGTTACTGTGGTATTATCAACAATTGTAGATTTTTAATATTTCATTATGATCAAATAATTATTTACGAACCTTACCTAACTTAAAATCTTATCCTCACGTCACTTTCCGTCCTTATAGATTCACAAAAAACCTCTCATTTCGGTCCCTTTTTTTGTTGAGCTATCGTATAGGCGAATGGCCATATATAGAAATAGTAGATATATGGCTTCATTTATCGGAAAAATCTAATTTGTGTCAAGGACCAACACGAGAAGTACTAGGATGAGACACCGAGCCAACGATGGTTGTCGAGAACCAGTCCAGAGTATCTCAGTGAATGAGAATATTTCGTAGAGTGTCCATATTGTGGAAACGGGGGCTTTCCGGAATCGAAAACAATGCTGCTAATGAACTAGCAAAGAGAATTTTGAATTTGTATCTGTATTTCGCTACTCAGAAGTTTGAAAACATCTTCCCAGAAGACGAAACTTGTGCAGGGTTAGAATTACAGATTATATCCTTCATTTATCGACGAAGTCAGATTTATGTCAAGGACCAACATGGGCAGTACAAGGACTAGGCACCAAGACATCAACGGCTCTCATCTGGGTGTGAACGGGTGAAGGTATTCATAATAAGGACATTCAGATTCAGGCAAGTCTGATTTGTGTCCAGGACCAACATAAGAAGTACAGGCCAACAAAGGCTTTCAAGAGCCAATCGAAAATATCCCAGATAAAGAGAATCTCTGCTAGATTGTTCATAATTTGAATATCGGGGCTTTTTGAAATCGAAAACAATCGTGCTGATGAGCTTGCAGAGAAAATTTTGAATTTGTTTCTGTATTTCGCTACTCCGAAGTTTGAAACCATCTTCCCAGAAGACGAAACTTATCTTGATGCCATGGACCAACATGAGCAGTACGAGGACTAGGCACCAATACATTAAAGGTCTCATCTGGGTGTTAAGAGGTGATAAGGCATCCATAATAAGGACATTTAGCTCCAGGTATCAGCCAAGTCTTATTTGTGTCCAACATAAGAAGTACTAGGGTGAGGCAACAGGCCATAATTTGAATATCAGGGCTTTTTGGAATCGGAAACAATCATGTCGATGAACTTGCGAGGGCAATACAGATCATCAGATTCATCAGTCAGCTCAGTCTAATTTATATCAAGGATCAACATGAGCAATATTAGGACAAAACAATGAAGGCTCTCATCATGAAACTATCTGTCAGGGTAAGCATAATATGGATCTGAAACAAGTAAGAATCACCAGTTGAATGATAATTTCTGTAAAATTTGTAATGGTGTCTATGACGTGGATACTCTTGTGAATAATCAACAGCGAAGTCTGACTGAAATATTGTGCTAAGAAACAACATCAGCTGTACCAGAACTACCAGGAAGAGGCACTAGGGCAACATGGGCTCTCATGAATCAATCATACAGTGATATCTGTGAGTGAACAAGAATTTCTATTATTTCTAAGAACCTCACAAGAAAATTATCGGCATCTTTCATCGTCCTACCATCTCCAGTCTCCAATTTAATCCGGAAGAAAATAATCAAGCGTTGAGGGATGAAATAAAACACGTTGTCATAATAAAAACTTAATAAATTATCGTCAATAACACAATTCAACAAATCAACAGCAAAATGACTTAGTAAGTACTCGGCTTTCGGTGTGCGACAACAATTCACTTGATCAGGGCTTTTTCCATAGATGAATGTTCAGACCAATCTGAATGCTGTTTACCATGACGATGAATTGTTAATAAACTAAAATTCTAACCTGAAAATTTTCGAAGTTGATTTTATTCATTGCTCCCAACACATTAATAAATAATATCTGGTACCGTGCCCACATTTTCACCTGACATCGTTCTCATTGAGGTTATATTCTTATTGTTATCTGGTTTTTCATTTATTGATGGTCTAGTAGGTATACATAGTTGTATTCTTTAATTATTTTGTTGATTGTGATTAGTTATTTGGTTGTTCGTTTGTCACTCAGAAGGTTATGCATTTTTCTGCTGATTTTCATTCCATTTTAATTACTCATTGATCACCCAATCATTTCTACCAGGAGATTTCTTAATTGCTCTAGTTCGAAAATATGATAAACTTGACAGAGAAGCGGATCTTGGCATTAATTTGAAAATTTTCTAGGGTTACTGAAAATATGGTCATTACCGACGATTCCTGCATGTCAATTTACAATAGCTATTTATATATTAAGGGAGAAAAGGTATCCATTTCCTCACGCGTGTGAAGTTTGATGCACGACGCATAGCGGACGGCATTAAACACACATGGGAGATGAACCTTTGCTCACATGATATATACAGTGTCATTTATGAAGTCAGCATCATATGGGAAAAACTTTTATTAATGACTTATTTTGAAATTCGAGTTGTACGTTGAGTTTTGCTTCAAAAAAGATGAAAAATAGCCTACTCAATCGGGGTCACGTGACTTTCACTACATGTCAAAAGTGACATTTTTTCAAATTAATCGCTGAAAGTAGGCTTATTTGTTCGAATATCGAAAAAGTTTACTTGAAAAAGTTGTTTCTATTTCAATTTTACATATGTGACTCGGATTTTATGTTTCTATCACATTTTTTAGATTTCGATATTTTTTGAAAAATTTCGAAATTTCTGTAATATTAAAAAAATTGTAAATTCAATAAAACTACTTCATACCAGTAGCTTCATCATGCTACTAACTAATTAATTTCTTCAGAAAATGATAATCTCCGCTTCAAAATTCTGTTATGTTTGATGCAAACATAACATCAAAATGCTGTTATGCTTGAGTCAAGCATTTAGAAACGAAATTCATTTGAATTTATTTTTTCAGTACTGAAAAGATCAGTTTAGATGAATTTCGTTTCTAAATGCTTGACGATATATCAACTTTGCATCAAACATAACAGTTGGAAGCGGGTTTTATCATTTTCTGAAGAAAATCATATTTCTGTCCATAATCAGTGATAATAGGTAATTGATAGTGAGAAGCACGAAAAAGCTACTGGTATGAAGTAGTTTCGTGAAATTAACAATTCTTCAAATATTACAGAAATTTTGAAAAATTTAAAAAAAATAAAATCTAAAAGTTGCAATAGAAAGATCAAATTCAAGAAGCATATGTAAAATTAAAATAGAAACAACTTTTTCAAGTAAACTTTTTCGATATTCGAAAAAATAAGCCTACTTTCATCGATTAATTTGATAAAATGTCACTTTTGACATGTTGCGAAAGTCACGTGACCCCGGATGAGTAGGCCATGTTTCATCTATTTTGAAGCAAAACTCAAAGTCCAACTCGAATTCCAAAATGAGACATTAATAAAAGTTTTTCCCATATGATGCCGATTTTATGAATGACACTGTATATGATTTTGTCAACGAATGCATTCTTCCTAAGCATCATTCTTGAAATTGTGATTCAGGCGGTCTATCATCTCGATCCAAGTCATTATGGATTGTATGCCATGGACAATTGTCGGCATTTGAACGAAAGGCAATTTGACACTTCTGTCATCATGAATTTTTTTTTAGTAAGTAATTTTATTAATTAATTTGTATATTGTGTAACTGAATCTAAAAGTTTTGACTAGAAGTACGTTCAGAATATGAAAGAGCGTATCATATCATTTGATTTCAAGAAGGATATTATTGTTACTTCTTTTACAATAGTGATAAACACTGATTACTTGCAATGCACAGATTCAATGGTTATGTCGGCACCAAAGGATACATGCTCAAGGACTTTTATTTTACCTCCCACAGGGGTTAATATTTTTTCCCCCCGTGGTAGTAAATTGACAACTGTGTTTCTTTGAGTGAGTGAGTAGATAAACAATATTATACTTCTCGCCTACTAACAAGGTTTTCATTTTGAACGACAGTGGTTCAACTGTCACAACCCCCACGAAAAAAAATCAAAAAGTCGACCATAACCAAGAGCAGTAGGAATAAACTTCTGGAATGAAAATGGCCTAAAAATTCTTCTATGGAAAAACACGTCCCGGTCAGTCAAATACGTGTGCGTGCGCTGGGCGACCGCCCCGCCCTACACCACCTAGACGGGCGGCCACGAATTGGTCGTGCACACGCCCGGCCCCCTCCATCAATCGTCGACGTTGGTGTACCGTCTGGGCGTGGCGAGGGCGGGGCCTTCGTCTATGAAGATTTAAACCACGCCCCCTCCACCAATCGTTGACGTCGTCGTACCGTCTAAGCGTGGCGAGGGCGGGGCCTGCGCCTACGATCATTCAAACCACGCCCCCTCCACCAGTCGTTGACGTCGTCGTACCGTCTAAGCGTGGCGAGGGCGGGGCCTGCGCCTACGACCGTTCAAACCACGCCCCCTCCACCAATCGTTGCCGTCGTCGTACCGTCTGGGAGTGGCGAGGGCGGGGCCTACGACCGTTTAAACCACCTCGGCGGCGCGCCACGACTTGGGCGTGCACACCCCTGGTCCCCGCCACCAATCGTTGACGTCGTCGTACCGTCTGGGCGTGGGAGGGGCGGGGGCGTGTAGCAGGGCGCACAGTCGGCACCAGAAGTACGTGTTGACGAACTCGCCGGTGCCCTTCCATCGGAAGTACGAGTTGTAGAGGGCGTCGTCTTTGTCGAGGCGGTGCAGGTAGGCGGCGAGCTCCTCGGGGCCGGCGAATTCGTCCACGTGGATGTAGGAACCTGCAGAAAAATTGAAATAGTAATGATAATGAATATACAGGGTGATTCTGGGTTTAAAGTACAAATTGAAATGAGTTATAGATCTCATCGTTTTAATCATAGATAAACTACACTCTCCTAGATGGCCAACGCTCATGTTAACCTCTTGTTCTATTTTCGCCATCAGCGCCTCTGGTGTTTGGTGGCCCAACTTATTCGAATAGCGGGAATTTTGAATAATTCACGATATTTTCAAATATTTGGCATGAAGAGAAGCTTTCGTAAATAGTGAAAGAGATGAAATATCATAAGCACTTTATGCTTTCCTCCTTTCCCACAATTTACAAGACACTGTGAAATGAAAATGGTCGGTAAATGAGAGCAAATTATCAAAATGCCTACTATTTTAATTAGGTCATACATAAACACCTCTAATGGTCACAAAGAAATATGACTTAACTTTACTTTATCCTCCCCAGAAACCTGAGAATGTCTCATAAAATTTGGAAATCGATGTCAGGAGAGAAAATATCAATCTTACGTCCTGGCACTGCACACTAGTCCAGTCTAATCAAAAACTTCACTATTGTTCGAATTAAAAGTTAATTATTGCTGATTGATTTCTCCAATCATGATTGAAAGTAATGGCCATAAATCGTGAATATAGCACTATGAAACGGAAAAAAAACTCCTGGACGGGAAAAAATCAGAACATTCACAACAAAGAAATGTCAACCGTCATTCGTAAAACAATATATGAACTCCCATTTTGAAATCAATGCCTGCGAGTTTTGTAATAATGATGGTGATATTTGAGTTTGGTAGGTATCTGAGTTTGCGGGGTCGAAAATTATGACTCTTTAGTTAAAATTGGGAAATTCAATATGGCGGATCCAATATGGCGGACGGGTTTTTGTAATCATGATACCATTTTATTTAAAATTTGTATCTAGGGGTTTTTGGGGCCGGAGATTATGATTCTTTCGTCAAAATTGGGTAAGTACATATAAAAAAACTAAAAATAGTTATTTTTGTATCTAGAGCGCGAAATGTTACTTTGGTGATCGAGAACTGATTTTTTTAACGAGGCGTAGCCGAGTTAAAAAAATAGTCGAGATGACCAAAGTATTTCGCGCTCGAGTTGCAAACAACATTTTTTCTACAAACGTCAAAAAATATAGTTCTAAAGTAAAAATATGCTTAGCTAGATATAAAAAATAGTGTTGAACTGGCTTTAAAGGTCTCCCCCTATCCTCCCTAGGTACGCACGATGTTCCACGAACATAATACGAATTTCCTTTCGTGCGCTCATGAGATAAAACAAAGTTATTGTTGAACATTCAGAAATAAATGATTTCATGGAAGTTTGCTCGATTGAGAACCATATAGTTGAAATATAAATATCTCATTAATTTTACATTAAAATGCGCGAAGTAGTTACTTCGCGCACTGTTTTACTTCGCGCATTGTTATGTGCAAGGTATCATGGTAACGTAGGAAACTGAAAAAAAGTGTCACTTCGCAGTTTGTTATCAATGCGCGAACCTTGTCATTTTTTGATGTTTGTAGAAAAACACTTTTGTGAAGTTAGCCGAACAAAAAAAATGAAAATAGCTAGTAGTTCAAAAAACTGAACGCCCTTTTATGGATAGCCAATCTAAAAAGAGATAGAAAATGAAATAATGAAGTGTTGATAAATACACAACAAAGAATCAGTATTCTTTGTTGTGCATTCATCAACACACTTTCATTATTCCATTTTTTACTTCTTATCTTCAGTTTGGCTATTTATAAAATCTTGTTTCCTTGGTACTCTAACCAACTATTCATCATATGGACCATTTTTGGTGATTGTGTCTATTTCGATGAGTTCCACATCCTGGTAAAAGAATACCATCGAGAACATCTTGTATATGTTCAATATAGACATTACGAAGTCGAGTTGAACATTTGACGTAAAAAGTGCTTTGAAATAGTTTACCTTCTGGTGCACTTCTTTGGTAATCTTCTGGTCTGCCGCCCATCACGATTGGAAGAACGTTTTGTCCCAGACCGTTGACATAGAATTTTTCCGTGATGTAGTCCCGGCAATTGGAATTCTCGAAAGCTAAATAAAATTTATATTCTTTCTCTAGAATCTCGAAACATTTTTTGTCTGTTCTAGGACACTGAAAACAAAAAAAAAATGACGAACGTTATTATTAAGACGACGGAAAGATCACTAATAAATATATTCTCATATATCTACTACTCCATATATGAAACATAGCTGTCCCCAAAGCGGGTCCAACTTCTGTCTCTATAGGTAACGAAATCGACCAATAGGCGTTAATGCCGACGTAGAGAAAAAACAATACGAAACTTATTAAACCAATATGGCTACGAATTTCAAATTTTTTAATTGGTTTCAGCGCGTATGTGATTGATTGTGATTGAAATGGTCTTATATCACAAAAAAAAATTATTTCATAATTCAATAGAACTCACCCAAACTAGCTCGCCACCGCAAACCGTTTCTTGCTGTGAGCTCCCTACGTTTTATAAAAAAATATTGAAATCCCCGATTTTTCGGACCTCTGAAAACGAGGCGATGATGTGACGTCAAAACCCTAATACTGAAACAAGACTATTCCAGACTGAGATGAATGATACATGATTTCTGACAGAGTGAATTAGCGCGAGATCACAGTTGAAAGAATTAATATATCTGTGGCCTCAGTCTCCGTCGGGCGTTTGGTATTTTCTTTTAACTATGGCGAGATGAGGTTTCTACGTCATAAGAGGGTCCCGTTTTCAGAAGGTACTATTTTTTATGTCCAAAAATAAAACATTCCAGTTAATTTTTCGATCGAATTATGTGGTCAATCATTATTTATGTATAAAAGGATCATTATAAATATGGTTTGAGTTAAAAGTTCTACTAAGGTGTACCTACAAGCTCATTCGAATATTTGCGTTTTTAGTTGACGGATAGAACAAATTTTAGAACAAATTTTTTAGTTGTACATACAATTCTTTGGTGTTTGTGTTTTCGTTTATTTTTCATGGACTGAACTTTTTCAACCATGTCTAGGGGAACGAAATGAAGTAATTGCGGAGTAAAGAATAGAAAGGAATCCTCTTTTTATAAGTTTGAATTTTCAAAATCTTGGGCTTGCAAATAAGTAGGTAGATCTGAGACTGAAATTCATAGAACTGAAGTTAGGATTTTGTAAAGCTTTCGATAATAATACTGATCTAATGCATAGGTAGGTAAGGTTCTAATAAACGTTATTTCACCTATTAATTAAAAAAAAATGATCACATTTGACAACATCCAAAGCTTTGAAGGTAATGGTTGGTTCAACATGAGTTCGACATAGAGCTTTAGCCTCATCATGTTTCTCATAGATTATCAATGAAGTTATCAATCATGCAGCAACAAGCATAATATAATGGGAATCTCCTTAAAGTTAACCAAAGTTCGAATCAGCAAATGACAAGTAGTGTAGTGTGGTCCTATCACGCTAAACAGATTTGAGTAGATCACTTTTACCACATTGAAAGAGAATACATATACCTAGGTTAGCCCTGGCCTATATTCAATTTTCAATACCAAGATCTGAAGCAATAATGTTGGATTAAAGAGTGTGAGTTTCGAGATTCCACCGAACTGAATGAAATCATTATCGCAGTTCATTTCATTATCATCTGCAATGGCTCTCTGCTGTTCCTCAAAATTATCGACATTATGTTTTGCTATATTTTAACCACATTATAATGGAATAAATTGAAGATTCAACCCAAATCACCTAGATAAAATATGTCTCCTGTCTGAGTTACAGGGTGTTTTATTCAAAAATTTTGAAATGTTTTTTGCTCAGTTCTTCAAAACTATTCGACGTATCACTTTCATATTCGGAGGGAAGTGTAGGTATTATACACCTAACTGAATTATGTGAAATGAACTGTTCTAGCTATTACAAGAGGCGTACGACAGGGGCAATTAGCTGGTTGATCCCTACCAAATTCTACGCCACTGGCGGAATTGCAATTCTATCACAAATTTTCTATTTTCCAACAATTTTGACGTAGATATTATACTCTCTCTCCTTGGCGATAAAGTCATTATTTTTCGAGATATTTCAAGTTAAACATAAATCTGCATAATCATTTTGATTCCAATGTGCATTAATTTTATCAATATTTTGGATCAATGGATTGTATTCATCAATAAAATGAAACTTCAATCCATATTAACAATAAAAACATAATTACATAACAGACAGGAGCTGTTATAGGGTGTTTAATTATGTAATATATATTAAAAAATTTAAAACGCCGTGTAACAGCTTCCGTCTGTTATGTTTTCGTGTTAATATGGAGAAGTTTCATTTGATTGATGAATGCAGTCCATTGATCCAAAATATCGACATTATTGATGATACACATTAAAATCAAAATAATTGTGCTGCTTCATGTTTAACTTGCAATATCTCGAAAAATAATGACTTTATCGCTATGAAGAAAGAGTACAATATTCACGAAGAAGGTATTGAAGAATCGACAAATTCTGATAAAATTGCAATTCCGCCAGTGGCGTAGAATTTCGGAAGGATCAACCAGTCACTTGCCCCTGTCGTACGCCTCTGGTAATAGCTAGAAAAGTTCATTTAACATAATTCATTTGGATGTATAACACCTACACTTCCCTCCCAATATGAAAGTGATACGTCAAATAGTTTTGAAGAACTGGGCAAAAAACATTTCAAAATTTTTGAATAAAATACCCTGTAATTCAGACAGGAGACATATTTTATTTGGGTGATTTGGGTTGAATCTTCATATTTTGAGTTCGGGATTCTATGGTTGAAATATTTCCAATTAGTAATGAAACACCCCGTATAGAAATAGTAGATATATGGCTATACATATTAGGAAAGTTTGGTTCGTTGTTCGAGGGCTCTGTTATCAAACAGCGCTAGACAAAATGGCGAGCGACAAAATAGCGCGGAACACATAGCGCGTGACAAAATAGCGCCAATAGAAAACAGCGCCGCGACATAAGCGCGCCGACTGAAATAGCGCGGAACAAATAATAGCGTGTTTGTGCTAATAGTGGCCTTTTCCGTCTATCATTGAGTGAATAGTGAATAACTGGCAAAAATATTTCGGTGCTACACTGAAAGTGCCATCCAAACACCAGTTTCTAAATTCACTCAAAAGGAAGATATTTCCATAAGTAGCAAAAACAATAATTCTGTTCACATCTTCTGTTCCTGAATCCCACAACAGAAACTCTTCACCTTTCTCTGTTCGTTTATATTTCTCTTCAATCGTTACATCACGAATGCTGTTGCATGCACTGTTAACCAAAAGCTCCTTGTTTCTCATTCTTTGAATTGTTTTCTCGCAGCATCATAATTTGGTAATAGTACTGATGCTTCCATCGATACTTGGCTAGTGCTGGCTTGTAAAATTTTCCTCGGACCATCTTCCGTCGTCCTTGCCATGTTCTTAACATTTTCCATAACTCCAAAAACTCCGTTTTTAGCATCATTCGGACCATGACTATGGGACGTTGTCGGTTTTTTGGAGTCGCCGCAAACTATCAAACTACCTTTACAATATTTCTCCGTACATCTCCAGGTAGTGGAAGTGAGATGCACTTTGTCTTTTCTGTATCTGTATCCTTCATGGATAAAAATAGCACCTCCTTTTTTTGAACGAGAAATATTCATCGTGACGTGACAATTCGTTCTGACGTTTTGGGCGCTATTTTGTCGCATTCCCAAAAGTCTGGGCGCTGTTTAAACCCACGCGATTTTGACCCTCTGTGAAATGTCCTAGCGCTTTTTTGTCCCACGCTATTTTGTCGAGCGCCATTTTGTCTAGCGCTGTTTGATAACAGAGCCTTGTTCGAGTTATATGTGATAAAATACTCATATGACTTATTATCAACTTATATGATGGAATATCGATTATTTTACCTTGTGAGGTCCACAGGTACCGTAAATATCTACTGGAATGTATTTGGCAAGTTCTCTGGCATAAGCTAATCGACCGTTTCTGGCCCCACAGTTCGATACGAACCAAGCTACTTTTTTCGTCTTGTTCACTGTAAAATCTTTGTTCTGGTCCTTCTGACGAACCTGAAAACAATGAAACAATCGGATCATCGTAGTTGGGTAATCGAATCAGATCGCTAGGTATACAAGATAATAATGTCGAAGTGTGAAAAATTAATGGTCTAGATTAGTCTAACATTTGAGAAATAGTCAACTATGAAATAGCGAAAATGCTGAAAGTGGAATGAAATGTTTATGAAAAGCAGAAAGCTCAGTGATTTTCACAAATGTTCATAAAATGAGCAACAGTGATAGAAGACTGGAGAAAAACAACTCATTTTCTGGCTGATTCCACGCAGAACATTGAAATCAATCATTCCCACCACTCTCCAAAGCCGGCGGCACATTAGCAACAAGTTCGCAAGGAAAAGAGTACATTTTTGCAGAGATGTTCCCAGCAAACTACACCTTGGATTCCCAAAGAAGAGTACCGACAGACATTCCACTCGTTGAAAGTCGAGAGAAGCGGTAGAGAACCGGTAACAATATGTATTTGCTACCAACCCTTTCAAGTTTATCCGGTTATTTCCGAAAATGAAGATTTATCGAACCTCTCCACAGGTAACTAATCCTTCAGGTTGGGAAAGTAGGATATATAAAAGTTAAGCAAGCCAAAGGTTAGTTTAGGCCCCCCACCTCCCGACTCACTACCCAACGCGAGAAAACGCTACACCAGACATACTAGACATAGCACTAATTCAATCAATAGCGACTATAACAGAGATAAAAACACTAGACGAAGGGACAGCCGACCACAATTCATACTAATCACGATAAGCGACGAAGACAGGACAGACATACAAGACACAAAGACAATCGTGGACTGGTCAAAGTACCAAAAGACTGTACACAATACTATAGGGGACATACCACGAATAGAGACTAGACACGTCCTGGACCAAGCCGTAGCCCACTCCGCGAGGGCAATTAAGGAAGCAATGAACAGATGTTCGAAAAACATACCAACCACTAAATTCGAATTCGAAATTCCTCCTAACATCAGAGCAATGATTAGAGAAAAACCAACGTACGCTTGCCCCAGATAATAGAAGATAGATAATAATGCCTGCAGAATCTTGCGGCATGAACTCAACGAACTCCGAAATCGTCAGTGGCAAAGCAGGTTGAAAGAACTCAACAGCGAGGACAATTCAGTATGGCAAATTCAGAAAGTCATGAATGACGAAAACCTTGCCCACCAATACACGGAGAACAAGGTATTGTGTACCCTGACGCTGAGAAGGCAGAAGCTTTTGCTGACTCCTTCGAGCGGCAGTGTACAGAAAACAATGTTCCAGACACAGACGAAGTCAGAAAAACAGAACGACATACAAACAGAACAAAAGGACATATCAGACTCACAGACGACACAAATCTCCTCATAGACCCCAGCTCACCGGAAGAGCTTAGATTAATAATAAAAAACCTAAAGACGCATAAAGCCCCAGGCATGGACAACATACCAAACAGAGCCCTTAAGGCCCTGCCGAGACGCGGAATAGCCGCACTGACCAACATTATCAACGCTATACTGAGACTACGTTACTTTCCAAATGATTGGGAGATTGCTACAGTAATAATGATCCCAAAGCCAAACAAAAATCACACGTTTCCACAAAACCACCGTCCTATCAGTTTGCTCCCATTCATGAGCAAAGTGGCAGAACGCGTCTTCCAAAGACGGTTAACAACGATGTCAGAGGATCTTAACGTAATTCCAAACGAACAATTTGGTTTCAGGCGAAACCACTGCACAGAACTCCAAGTTCTCAGAATAGTAGATTACGCGATTACAGGATTCAATCTCGGACAAGGACATTATACTGGAGCAGTCTTCCTTGACGTTTCGAAAGCATTCGACAGGGTCTGACACGTCGGACTACTGACCAAAATGGCAGACTACGGGTATCCGATATCTATGGTAAAGCTAATAGCCGCCTTTCTGCGGGGAAGGCGATGCCAATGTAAAGTTGGCAACGAAATCTCTGCAGGGAGGGAGCTAGAAGCAGGAGTACCGCAAGGTGCGGTACTTTCACCACTACTTTCTTCCATTTTTACCGCAGATATCCCTAAACCCGCGAACAACTTTAACAAACTCGCACTATACGCCGACGACACAGCCATAATTGCCAGATCCAGCAACGCAGACATGACAGTACGATACCTACAAGAACAAATAGACACACTAGAAACCTGATTTAAAAACTGGAAAATAGAAATTAACGCAGCGAAAAGCCAAGCTGTTCTCTTCACTAGACGACGAACCAAACCCACAGGACACGTAATACTAAATGACACACAGATACCATGGGCAGATGAGGCAAAATAGGCTCCCAATTCACCAAATATAAGATAAACAAACAAAAGTAAATCAATATCAATAAAAGTTGCATAATAATCATCAGATATATCGAAGACTGGAACCTTTGGCACGATCATACACTACACTGTTTAACTTGCTTAACTAGTTTGAGGTTAGTAATATGTGTGTTATGATTGTGATTGAACATATGTTCGGCTACACAAAATTTATCTAACCTGCCATATTTTAAATGGGTTATGTGTTCTTTGAACCTTGTTTTTATGGGTCGCCTGGTTTGGCCTATATATGTTTTATCACAATCCTTACAACTTATTTCGTATATTCCCGACTTTTCAAGTGTGTCCACTTTATCTTTCGGATTGCCTAATAAATTGCCTAATTTTGACCCAGACTGATAAACGCTTTCAAAACCTAACCCAGCAAACATCTTGATATGGGGCATCGATGGCCTAGTATATTTTTCCCATACCTGACATCAGCGGCCCAGTAAATGGTCCCATATGCGGGACTCTATATATCAGTACACTGCGGCCGGCAGCTGGTCCCAGTGCTGGGTACCCAGCAATCATATTCAGTTCCCCGGCAAAAGGCCAGTACAACATAATCGACACATTGAGTTTCCCATAGCAAGCCCAGCATATACATAAATGATGGGACTGTAATGGCCAATTAACGACATTGGTTACATACTATCGAGGTAGGGGAGGGGTAGGGATTTTAGGGGTCCAATGGATCTGAAATTCCTAGTACCTCTTTATTTCACAACATAACCCTCTCATCATGAATCAGACACATACCAGATTTCAAGAAAACAATTTTATGAATGACACAATGATATCTTCTTAACTTCTCTGTTCTTCAACGATGAAACTTCTCGGAGTGACTGCTTACTGGTGGGTGTGTGGTATCTACATCTTATTGGGAAGCATTCCTTCGAAGTTGATTCTTCGTTGTGAGGTACTTCTGAAATATAAAATGCATCATTTGTTTTATATCAGTGGTATATGAGTTGCATGAGTTTATAACTTGATAATATAGTCAAATGACGTGATAACATGGAGCTTTTCAATTCTCATTATGGTGTTGGCACAGTTAATTCTGTAGCTGAAATCTTATTGTTATTCAGTTATTCAATATAGAGATAGGTTCACATAACCTGAGATTGCTTTTGATAGCAACAAACAAGTTGAAAATGATGGTTGCTTTTAGAGAAGTAAAGTTAACTCCAATTATCATAATCATTAGGTATATGAGGTTACGAGAAACCAAACACATGCATCAAATAATGACATTCAAAACACTATGTAGGTACATTGATACTTACTCAATGTTATCATAATTGAAGACTCTGTCTTCTATTATTATCAATTGAGAATACTCCTGCCACCATAAATAACCACCACGGAAAGAGAGGACCACAATAATTCGACATAAACAAACTAGTACGCGATCACCACTCGCGAGAGTCAGCCATCTTAGTCACATATGATATTGATCAGCTGATTGTTGATGTAGACGTTCTCAAAACATCCGCCAGGGGGACGGGTAGTGAATATGAAATTGGCCAGCAAAGGGCCAGATCTCGTTAGTATTCAATTAGTTCCAGACATCTTACCATCACAAGGCCATCATAGTATTTTTAACTGATGGTTACTTGGCATGGGAAAATCATCGGCCCATTACCTATACCCCGGCATCGTCACTTTCCCAGACTAACCTGCACTAGGCCGGACTTCTCCCGCTAGTTCAATGTTTGCTGGGAAGTCTCTGAAAACCTTATCAAGTCCCTTCGTATACTTGGGATTGAACGGGATTGGGATTCTTCTAGAATTCTTTTTATCCACTCGAAAAGTCGTAGAATGTCGAAGTGTTAACTTAAATTTATGTCTACGTATTAATTTATCTACTATTCTGATATCATACCCACTGACGCCAGCCACTTTATAAACAACACTTCTTTCAGCATTGAATCTTTCTTTGCTCAGAGGAAATGAAATCAATCTGTGAAGTGGATAAAAAGAATTCTAGAAGAATCCCAATCCCGTTCAATCCCAAGTATACGAAGGGACTTGATAAGGTTTTCAGAGACTTAGGTTTTGAAAGCGTTTATCAGTCTGGGTCAAAATTAGTCAATTTATTAGGCAATCCGAAAGATAAAGTGGACACACTTGAAAAGTCGGGAATATACGAAATAAGTTGTAATGATTGTGATGAAACATATATAGGCCAAACCAGGCGACCCATAAAAACAAGGTTCAAAGAACACATAGCCCATTTAAAATATGGCAGGTTAGATAAATCTTGTGTAGCCGAACATATGTTCAATCACAATCATAACACACATATTACTAACCTCAAACTAGTTAAGCAAGTTAATAACATTAGAAAACTAGACGCATATGAAAGCTTAGAGATATTTAAGAATAGTAATAGAGTAATGAATAAGGATAATGAACCTATTCCATATAGCCCTCTATATAGTTTAGTGAAATAAAAATTAACACATTAACATGTGAACTCAACCATGACAAACATTAACTTGACGGTTAGTATTTTTCACAGTTGGGTGAACATATACCTAGTATATAAGCAGCACAGAATAGGATATTTAGTTTTAATCTTCTCCTGAAGATGCTAACATAGTTAGCGAAACACGTGTCGAGGCGTTAAAAAATCGGTTTGGTTAGTGGTAAAACAGTGTAGTGAATCATCAGATAATTAAACAGAAGAGTATCTCCTTTGATACCCTATAAAAATGTAAACCAATAATAATAATAATACATAAACTCAAATTTGCTTCCCATTAGAGTAGGGAACCACCACGCAAAGCCAGGCTAGGAAACACACATTAGACAAAAAGGTTTAAAAGTCGGGAGACTGAAACCAAGGAAGAGGTTTCACTCGGGGTTTCATAAAACATATATGCAGATTGAGGGTGGATGGACATGGGGATGAGGAGCTATCATATAACGTAAGCTAGTTATATGGCGGCACTTGATCCTGGGCATTCAACCTTTCGGGGGGCGTGGTGTGTGTGTGTGTGTGTGTGTGTGTTTAGTTAGTTTAGTCATGTTCAGTTCATTGTCCAGTATATCACCTGACGAAGCTACTGTGTTAGCGAAACATGTCATGTGTTTGAGAATGTTGTGTATATCTTATCGTTTGAGAAATTGTCACATTTGCCATGGATTTTCATCAAGTAACGGCCGAGTTAATTAAAAAAAAATAATAAGAAATATTCAATTTCTGTGAAAGATAGTCAATGGATGGGGTCGAGTAGATTTTGTTCCAAGGTCAAAAAAGTAACTTCATCTCCTAGGAACTAAAAGTGTCGCCAAGCAACATACCTGTTTGTGTCAGTAATGGAAACGTCAATTCAAGAGCGGATTTTGGTATTAAAATGGACAACTTTTGTGCCGGTTGAAAGAAAATATATTTTTTCAATTACCTGTGAATCATAATAGGTCCATCTTTCGTATGGAGCTACGATATCACTATCCCTCCTGTAGGTGGCAGTCCAGTTGATGACGTCAGCAAATTTGAGACTTTGAGTATGATACGGGCATTCCAAGAAGTAAATGATCCAGACCTATAGCAAAAAACCTCTTCCTAAAGTTATTCACTATGTTGTTTTTATTGTAATATGCAATATACGCTACATTGATAATGATGTTTTAATTCATCAGAAAAAGATTTTTTCCACCACTAGCTCTAGAACCTACCATTTTTTACACGTTTTCAAGGCGTAATATGTGTTTTTACTACCGAGGTAGTTTTCGTCATTTCATGAACGGCTAGTCAATAAAGACATGGCCACCTCTGATATAATTAATCCGAATTCACTGTTCTTCTGCGAAATTCACAAGTATGAATACTTTCATTCCAAGTTTTACCTGAAATGAATAGTCCACGAGAATTACGCACTAAATGGACACACTGTATGTATACGCCAGAATTCCATTGTTATGTCCTAAATATAGATTTGATTATCACATTCGCCATATGTACAAGTTGATTAATCAAATTCAGTTTCGGTGTATTTTAATCTTCCAATCGCATGTTCCTAACAATCCATTAATAACTTTTCCTGAACAGTTTTTCATGAAAATCAGCCCGTAATAACTCGTTATCAAAGTCAAAACAAATGACATGAGAAAATTGTTCGGTGTTTACATCAGTTTCCTTCTATCTAGATTGAAAATTAAATTTCCGTTCCTCTTTCTTCCACTGTGACTAATGTGGCTCACCCTGTATATAAATAATATTTTGCTACTCTCTTTTTACATGGTTATTCAAGACATGAGACATAATAAATAAGCAATTTTTTCCTGATTCTTGCGATTTAATGGGCATAAACTGATTTTTAATTCATTTCACTCATCATCACACTGAAGCTTTCGATTTTATCATTTTTCAAACATTTTCTGAATAGTTTTATAATGTCTCAAAATCACAAATGAGGTCACAGTCTCATTCAAACTGTCGAAATTTGCCACTCATAACTACTCTGACGTCACGACTTAGTAAGTGAAACACATAGTTGCCAGATGTCAAATCACATTTAGAAATAACAGATATTGTCTGACTATGAACATTCAAAGATCATTATTTTTTTCTCTCCTACTACGTGGAAAGATTCCTTGTTGCCATTTTTCTCAAATGAATAGGTCGCGTGCACAATAACCGACCCTGGAGGTAAAATATTGAAACACAACCTCACTCTTCTGTGAAACATTGAAACACAACCTCACTTTTTCTATTTGTTTACAGAGGAATCAAAGGATTGAAATAGTTTTCCACAATATTTTACCATACGAATCGTATTTTTTGCGATATTCATTAATTCAAGCATGCCTTCTCATTGTGCTGTTGTACAATGCACAAAAAATGCAGCGAGAGACGAAAGAATGTGATTTTTCAGGTAAATAGTAATCTCACATAGTTTTCATTATGAAATTTTGTCATTTCCTATTGAAATTCCTTCTGCCACTTCTGCAATAGGAGTTAATACTGCTAAAAGATTGAAAATGTCTGCAACACAAATGATTATATTTCGTCAGTGTCAGTCCATTCTTCTCGTTTAATTGCATAAATCCAATCTTCTTGCATTATTTTAGTAATTTCACGAGTATTTCTATCAGTTAATAATAATAATAATAATAATAATAAATCGTCTTTATTCATCTTGCAACAATATCAGTACATTAAATTTATAAAGAATAATTATTGTAGTACAAAGATGAAGAGGCGAAGTGTCAGCTGATGCTGTTTTACAACTTAACCCTTGAAGAAAAAGAAGGAATAAAGAGAAAAAAAGGTATAGAATACAATAGTACTATTGAACATATTATAAAGAGAATTGCCATCGATAGTTTGATAATCGGAAAAGTCTTGAGCTATGCGAAGTAGAATATATATTATATCATGCATCGAAATATCTATCCATCATTCAGTAATGCTTTCAGTTTCTTTTTAAAATTTAGTAGATTATAATTATGAAAATCAGTAGGTAGAGAGTTATAACATTTAGTGGCTGTATAAGAGAAGCTTCGTTTATACAAACTGGTTTTGTATTTTGGAATTACCAAGGTATTTTTGTTTCGTGTTCTCGCATTGTTATAGTTCCTGAATCTGATCAGTTTAGCAGCTAGATAAGTTGGGGAAGATGTAGTTATTACTTTATGGGTTAAAGTGAGTAAATGGAGTTCCCTCAATTTTTCCAGTCTCAGCCAACCGGACTCCCTGAACTTTGCACTGATGTGATCATATTTTCGAATACCATAGGAAAATCGTATGCAGGAATTCTGAATACGCTGTAATCTGTAGGCATCATTCCGCAAAAGTGCAGGGCCGTAGACAGCGTCACAATATGAGAGCTTAGAGATAATCAAGGATTGGCAGAGATTTAGTTTAAGATTCGAGGTGGGTAAAATGTCCTTAGAAGGGTATAATTGTCTCAACACATTGAAAGAGCTTTGACACAAATGACTTACGTGTTTTGTGAATCGTAATTGCTGATCGAACCAGACACCCAAGTTTTTGCATTCATTGACAAATGGTAGTTGTTCGTTGGAAAGTTTAAGTGAAAAGCTCCCCTCAGCTAGTGCACATTTTGATTTTGTGCCGATAAGCATAGCATGGGACTTGCGCGGATTTATCTTGAGGTTATGTGCAGTGGAAATATCGAAAAGAGAGGTCAGATCATCATTTACTTGTTCAGATGTTAAGTCGGCGTTGTTTATGTCAAAGCTGATATAAAGTTGGGTATCGTCGGCGTAGTGATGAATATGACAGTACTCAATTGTCTCATGAAAATCACAAATATATAAAGAAAACAGTAATGGACCAAGAATAGATCCTTGAGGTACTCCAAACTCTACAGGTAGTGTTCCTGAAGATTCACCATCAAGAGTGATTGACTGAGTCCGAAACGTGAGAAAACTCTTGATAAGAGCTACTGAGTTCTGATGAAATCCAATATATTTGAGCTTCTTACAAAGAACATCATGATCAATGGTGTCAAAAGCTTTAGTGTAATCCAACAAAATAAGACACGAAGATTCACCTCTATCTACTGACCGAAACAAGTCGTCAGTGACTTTCAAAAGTGAAGTTCCTATTGCAGAAGGAATTCCGACGAGAAATCAGAGAAATCACCAAATTTCGAAAATGAAAACTATATGTGAGTGACACATTAAAACAAGCGTAAGTAGGTACTTACTTTTGAATCATAATGTACCAACTGGATTCCTCCGTCTCTCGCTGCATTTTTTGTGCATTGTACAATAGCACAATGTGATGGCATGCGCGATTCAATGAATAGCCGAAAAACACGATTCCTATGTTGAATAATTGCGAAAAACTATTTTTCCACGGCTATAACACAAGATTACTCTTGTTTTAATGTGTTCGATACATCAATGAGGTACTTTGTATGTCATCAATTTCATCTCCCTATCTGATATCACAATGACTCCATTGTGTTATTATTTCAGACAAATCTCATCGCCCAGGGAATGTCAAATTTCAAGTAATGACAGCTCTCTCTAATAGATGAGCGTTACTTGACAGGAAATCAGATGGTTCAAGACGAAGAAATCGAAAATGCTGCTGTTATCTATTATAGCCGTAGAAAAATTATATTGTATAACTTGCAAGAAATGCTGATTTCCTACTAGAATGATTGCAGCATTCGCCTATAGCTCATGCTGCAAACTTTGTTCTCGTAGGAAATCACTATCATTCAGTGCTCGTTAAACAACAAATATTCAATCACTTGTAAACAAATAAAAAAAGTGAGGTTATTGTGTTTCAATGTATTTTGTGTACCTGACTCATCGGCCTCGGTACTCCTGGATGTATGAAATGATCTTTGTACAAGATGGCGTCGGCGTTGACAGCTTTGCTCCTGTCATCGGTGAGCGAGCATCTGCTGACAGGGCAGCCGTGAAACGAGGCCGACCCTGATTTCTCTCCCCAAGCCCCCAAGCCGTTGTAGGCTAGGATTGTTTTTTCCGGAGTATCATAACCTGAAAATTCACACTATTTTAAAGCAGAAGATGCAATTTTTGTAAGATTACAGCATTTTTTAATGTAGAAATTGTGACTTTATGATTAAAAAATAAAGCTCTGACATAAATCAATTTGATTTCATTAAGGGAATAGTGACACACAAGCAGCAATATCATAAGTACTTAGTAAGAGCAGTAGGCGAGTGGACAATTTTTTTTTATTTCTCAAATAGAATCATCACTCAAATATCTTTAAATTCCATTTTTTTTTATCGCTTGGAGCGCACGAAAGGGAATCCCTATAATGTTCAAAGAACATCGTGCGTTCCTAGGGAGGATAAGGATAGGAGGTAGGTATTGGAATTTTTTTTGAACTTCTGGAGATTATATGTTGTTGGGAATACTTCCTCAGGCAATGAATTCCAGAGCCTAGCCGTTCTATGGATGAAGGAGTCTGACTGGTATTGCTAGTGAAGGGATGATAGCAGAGATTTCCGAAGAACATTTCCCGTGGAAGTATCGATAGAAAAGTGAAAGGTCGCCGACCTTTCTACGGTGTTCCAATGATGTCAAAGAGTGAGTGAGTGTGGCGTCACCCACCAGGCGGATGGCTCTTCTCTGGATGGAATCTAAGAGCATCAGCGTATGTTTTGGTGCTGAACCCCATATGTGGGAACAGTATTCTAGAACAGGCCGTATATCTGAGCTTTGTAGATCATGAGAAGCTGTTGAGGTGTAAAGTAGCTTTTCGCAGGGAACAAGAATCCGAGTTTTTGTGAGGCAGCTTTTGCGATGGATCTGACATGATTATCCCATGAAAGAGTGTTGCTGATGGAAATACCGAGCATAGATATGGTGGGCTTGGTGGAGATGGTGGTGCCAGACATTACAATGTCGGGCATACTGAGTTCCGCCTTTCTAGAGAAAATACAGGCTTGAGTTTTGGTGGCGTTGAATTCAACTAGGTTGTTGGTTCCCCAGGCTGTGATTTCAGCAAGGTCTTCATTGACAGCATTGACCTGCCTGCGCCGTGAGTTCTTAGTTTCCTGGAAAGAGATGGGAATTCTGGATGAGAACGCAGTATGGAGGGTACTATCATCTGCGAAGCTGTGGATGGGGCAAGTTGTTACTCCCAACAGATCATTGATATGCAGAAGGAATAATGTTGGTGCCAAAATTGATCCTTGTGGAACGCCGGAATTGATGCCAATGGTATCAGACGATACACCGTCCACCACAACGTGAAGCGATCTGCCTGAAAGTGAAAGAAAACTCGATAAGAGATGGCATAGCTGAGGTGGTAAGCCGTATGATGGTAGTTTGTGGAGGAGTCCTCTGTGCCAAACACGGTCAAATGCTTTCGATATGTCCAACGCGACAGCTAAAGATTCCCCGTGTTTTTCTAATGAAGCTTGCCATAAATGGGTGACGTAGGCAAGTAGATCTCCAGTAGATCTTCGGTGGCGAAAGCCGTATTGTCTATCATTGATGATTCCTGAGCTCTCCAGATATTTGATAAGCTCAATGTTGATGGCTTTCTCCATCACTTTGGAGATCACTGATAACAGGGCAATGGGCCTGTAGTTGTTGGGCAGGTTCTTGTTCCCTTTTTTGGGGATTGGTTGGACTCTAGCTGTCTTTCAGCATGATGGAAAAATACCCGACCTGTACGAGACGGTAAACAACTTGCAGAGAATCGGTGTTAGTTCTGGTGCACATTTTTTGAGGATAATGGGTGGGATTCCATCAGGACTGTTAGCCTTATTCGTTTTGAGACCAAGCAAAATTCGTCTGATAGTGCGTTGACGGAAGACGATTTCGGGCATTCGACTCTCAACCGGTGGAATGTCTGGCGGCACTTTTCCTTGGGAATTTAAAGTAGAGTTTGCTGCGAACATCTCTGCAAAGATATTTGCTTTCTCCTGCGATGTTGTTGCTAATGTGCCGTCGGATTTGGACAGTGGTGGAAATGAACTGTTAGTGAAATTCAGAATAATTTTGATCGATTTTTAGGTGCTAAAATCATCAATGATGCCACGGTAATTTTCAAATTCAGCACAATGTAGCCAAGTCTCCAACCTTCACATGATATTTTGTTATGGAGAATAAACCATATTTGGACATGCTGGTTGCTCGAAAAAGTTAAGAATTCTGATCACTCTGTATCTGTTCCAATTATTAAATGTCAGTAGATAGTAAATAAAAAGTTAAGATACGGACATGAAAGCCGTTTTGACCGATAATGAATAGTTTCGTCACAAGAAAATCCTAAAGTTGAAAAATCTCGAATCACCCTATATCTCTGTAATCATTGTCGCTAGGCCCCAAGTGTGATGCATTGATGAAATCAGCTCTTCAGGAAGAATCTGAAAATACAATGAAAAATAGGGTGTTCCATTAAAAAAAAATCGAAAAGTACCCTGTAGATCGTTTGTTCCGAGCACCTTGTATTTTCTGATGTAGCTGAAGAAAAAAAACTCCATCGAAAATCATTTCAGATGATATTTAAAATTTTGCAATCGGTTCAAAGAACTGAGCTAGAGGGGGGAGGGAAATTTATGGTGAATCACCCTGTACAATTATCCCGTTTCAAAAATTTTAATAATAAACTCAGGCAATAATTTGCTGCAAACTTTGCCCTTATAATTCTCTTGACGCAATAGTTATTTATGTACCAAGGGCGTTATATTGATCCTAACGTCGTTAGGATCTAGTAACGCTCGTGGTGCATGTAAGATTTAATTTTTCACGAAAAAATTATCTTTACGTAATGAAAAATCAATTTTGAATAGCGGTTCATTGCTCCTAGCATTTTCTTTCCATTTTCATTCTTATATGGTAGGCATGGCATTTGTTGATATATTTGACGTTTGTTGAATATTGCTGTCATCATTTGATAAAGTGAATGTTTTCGTGTAGTCTTATAGAAATAATGGAAATGGGCGTGTACACCTTAATAGAACTTTTAAGTCAAACCATGTTTATAATGATCATTTTATACATAAATGATGATTGACGACATAATTCGATCGAAAAATTAACTGGAATGTTTTATTTTTCGACATAAATAATAGTACCTTCTGAAAACGGACTCTCTTATGGCGTAGAAACCTCATATCGCCATAGTTAAAAGAAAATACCAAACGCCCGACGGAGACTGAGGAAATTGATATATTAATTCTTTCAACTGTGATCTCGCGCTAATTCACTCTGTCAGAAATCATGTATCATTCATCTCTGTCTGGAATACTCTTATTTCAGTATTAGGGTTATGACGTCACATCATCGCCTCGTTTTCAGAGGTCCGGAAAATCGGGGATTTCAATAATTTTTTATAAAACGTAGGGAGCACACAGCAAGAAACGGTTAGCGGTGGTGAGCTAGTTTGGGTGAGTTCTATCGAATTATGAAATAATTTTTTTTGTGATATAAGCATATTAATACGAATTAGCGGGTTTTATTATATTTATAATGCCCTCCACAAAGCCCCGGGCATTATGAGTCTGTTAGCAACTGTTGCCAAAGGTATAATACTTGAGTTGGCAATGCTTTTCAAACCTAGAGAGTGAATGACTCACTTTACTCCCGCTCTTGGAAGCGTAAAACCTTTCTATACAGTGTGTCCCACTTACCATGCTCACCATGGGTATCTTTTTAACGGTGAGAGATACGAGGTCGGTTAAATGACACCAAATGTGGAGTTTGTCAAGGCCAACTATAATGTGAAAAAATATTTTGATAAAATCTATTCGTTTTTGTTTTATACGCAAAAACAGATTTTGATCATTTTCATGTCTCCTCCGATTTCAAAAAAAATATGAAATTCATACCAACTCTTCTAGAATTTGAGATAACAGCACCAACTTTAGTTTTTCAAATGTAGGTCATAGCTCACTATGACTTAGTTACAAATAATTTTTTTTTCTCTTACAGATGATATGTCGCAGTAATAGTTTCGTGTTGATAACAACGGAGTTATCGTCATTTATACAAAAACAAAAAATTATTTGGGAGCCGCCATCTTGAATTCATAAATTTAAACAAAAAAATCATGATCTCCTACCTCAAAAACCCCTACTCACCAATTTTGAATGAAATCAGACCAAATCTTGTCCGCTATCTTGGAGCAGCCATTTTTTTTAATTTCAGCGAAAATTCCATAACTTCGATTAACTTGAAATTTGGCAGGTGTTCCTAATTCCGGTGACAATTCATTATGGAATTCTTGTTGAAATTGAAAAAAAATGGCTGCTCCAAGATGGCGGACAAGATTTGGTCCGATTCCATTCAAAATTGGTAAGTGAGGGTTTTTGAGGTCGGAGATCATGATTTTTTTGTTAAAATTTATAAATTCAAGATGGCGGCTTCCAAATAATTTTTTGTTTTGTATAAATGACGATAACTCCGTTGTTATCAACACAAAACTATTACTGCGACATATCATCTGTAAGAGAAAAACAAGTTATTTGTAACTAAGTCATAGTGAGCTATGACCTACATTTGAAAAACTAAAGTTGGTGCTGATATCTCAAATAGTAGAAGAGTTGGTATAAATTTCATATTTTTTTCGAAATCATTTTGAAAAACTGCCATGAGAATGTGAAATTCCTATTTGAATATTTTCATAAATAAAGAAGTTACGGAGGAGACATTAAAATGATCAAAATCTGTTTTTTGCGTATAAAACAAAAACGAATAAATTTTATCAAAATATTTTTCACATTATAGTTGGCCTTGACAAACTCCACATTTGGTGTCATTTAACCGACCTCGTATCTCTCACCGTTAAAAAGATACCCATGGTGAGCATGGTAAGTGGGACACACTGTATATATCTAGTTCGTGCAAAAAACATGTTAATCACCGACGTACCCACCCTGATAGTCTTCCGGCACGTACATCAGCTGCTCCACCACCCTATCCCCGTCCGCCTGGTCGGGAAATAGCCTCAGCGGCCCCCGGTGCTTCTCAGGAAACTCCGTGCCGCCCCGCATGAACCACGGCCTGCCCGCCGGCCGCCCACTGTCCCCAGACTCCGCCCTCTCTCGCTTCTCCGCAGCGTACTGGGCAGGCGCATCGGCAGACTCTGCCCTTTCTCGCTTCTCCGCAGCGTACTGGGCGGGCGCATCGGCAGACTCCGCCCTCTCCGGTCGGGCGGCAGCGGTGGGGTCGTCGTCTGTAGGCGGACGTTGGGCGGGTGGGCGGAGACGCGCCCACGGGAGGCTGCCGTTGTGGGCGAGCAGGAGGGTGAGGGCGGAGAAGGTAGCGATGAGGAGGAAGAGGCGGCGCGCCGATATTCGCGGCGGCATTTTCAGGGGTACTCCATTACCTGGAAGGGAAGGACGAACGGTTTTTTTTTTAAGAAATTTTCTCAGATATATCATCAACATGACAAAGAATGGAAATGTGTAGAGAAATCCGCATTATTTATCTGGTAACAATATGACTTTATTGTTTTTTGGGTAAAACTGAATTTATCATGCGATGTTTTTTTTTTTCGAAATTTTTTTTGGTACTAATACGTATTTTTGTCTGAAAAACACGAATTTGATAATGAAAATATGAACAAACCACTATTTATCGAGATATGTCAAGGAAAAGTTCGAAATTTCGCCTTATTTTCCCCTTGTGTTGGATGCATTTACAGCTAAAGTATATCCAATATCAATTGCAGAATATCTCACACTGTGCGGCGTCGGCATGTTTGAAGTTTCCTCTGTAGGTGCGGCACGATAATCTGCAATTGATTTTGGATAAACTATATATACTTGCTCTTCTCATTTTGTCATTGGACACTTTATATACTCATGATGTACTTCGATGACACATTTTCATATACAAAATTCAACAGGAAATATGAATTTTATGGCGAGATTTTCATATTTAGGTGAACAAGCATACCAGATGACGGCCATTTAATATATCAATATAGTCAATCCAACTACAATGAACTCAATACAACAGGAAGGGATACGCCCGCTCTCTCGAATAGCACAAAGTGTGTCAGGGGCAGCTGCAACAGAGATAGCATGATTTACGGATACCTGTCCTCTTCCAACTCGTGTTGTTTAATGGTGGATTGGTGTATAAATTTTCTTTTATCTAATAATTAAAGTAGCTAGGAATTTTTTCTCTCATCTACACAGGCAAGAAAGTGAAGACATAAGTTCATTGTCTTCGTTTATGCTGAATACGAGGTGAAATATCTATTCATTTGGCGTGTTTTGTTGTATCAAAAAGACTGAATTTGTTGTTGTGAACACTGAACTGATTGTTGAGAAGGTTTGTGATTAATATTGATAAACAATGGTGATTTATTGTGTCGCCTTTGGATGCAAGAACGAACAAAACAAAAGGGAATGGGCATTCCATGGGTAAGTTGAATATTGTTCTCAGATTTTTGAAAAATATAGTTCTTGAAATGATCATCCAGCTAGGTATACAATGTTCCCAGTCTCAGAATATGTTCAAAAACTATACCTGTATTATTTGTCAAAGTTAAATACTTCCATATTGATATTGAGTAATATTATTTGTTGCAGCTTTCCATTCAAAAGACCAGACATTCTCGAATTATGGATAAAAGCAGTTCATAGAGAGAATTGGACTCCAAATAGAAACAGCAAGCTTTGTGGGGAGCATTTCCTGACAACAGATTATTTAGGCATACCAGGTACTGCTAGGTTTTTTAAAGCAGATGCTGTACTCAGTATATTTTTCATTTCCTCAGCATTTGTTACCAAAAAATGCTGATTCCCCCAGGAAAATAAGAAAACTCATAGGTACCTAGTTGATTAATAATGAAAAAAAAGTATGTTTTCACCTCATTAAAATAAAAAAAAAAACTAGCTAGTAATTTGTTTTCAGGATGCATCTATGGACGCTCATAACTTAGGTCCAAAGGAAGAAGTTTCCCATTTTATTGACTTTGACTTGCCTACCACTTCCAACTCCCAAGTTTCGAGGTTTATCAATAAAATATATTGTATTGAGGAGGAAAGTGAAGACACTGGGACAAAACGTAATAAGGAGAGACCTAAAAATTTCAAATATGACAGAAGAAGGAAGAAGGAATAGGAACCTATGGAAATTATGCTCAAAATGCACTCAATACCATTCAAGAACCTCTTTTCAAATTTTTCCTATCGTTTTTCTTTTCCTTCTGATAGTTCTGAGACATTGTGCTTCGCTCACCCTGTACAATATATTGTGACATTTGAATAAAAATATATAATTTCAATTTTGTATTCATTTGACTTCCGATCCTGTGAGAGTGAGATTGAAATTTCATTTCAAAGTCAATAAAAAAATCAGTAATAATTTTATAATGATAGTTGATTACAACATTATCCTTTTTCCTAAATGAATATTTTTATTTAATCACGTTTACTTTTAAATAGAAGCAAAAAACGAGAAAATATTTCAAATTATGCGAGCGCTTCCCATTAACCAACACAAGATAGAGAGAGATAGGTATCCGTAAACACTGCGGGTTGCCTGAAAAATATTTTTGCCTCACTCGTCGTTCACAGTGGGTCCCTTCCAGTTGTATTGAGTTCATTGTCCAACTAGGAGATGTCAAATGTCAATAGGTTGCTTTAGAATGACATTACACACGCTATTATTTCAAATGATATTCTTCCTTCTTTTCACTGAATATGGATAAATCTCAAGAAAACCATATTTCTAGTTGACTCATATAATAGAAAAAAATGTGTCATGCATTGGGATAAACAGGGTGTCCCTGAAAGGTCTGTACAAACTCCTAGCATATATTCCTGAGGTCATAATAAGCCGATTTGAAGCAACCTACCTCAGTCCGAAATCGCTCCGTTTCCGAAATACAGTACTGTATTCACACATTCAGAACCCTTCCTCAATCATTACGTGAGATACGGGGTGCTTCCATGAGAAGTGAGACCAAATTTAATTCTTATGAACTGAAAATCTACTAGGAAAACTATAAATAGTTAGTGAATTGGTCGTCCTGCTTCCGAATCCGAAGTGATTCTCAACCTATTTCGACTCCTAATATCATTTTCCGGAAATTGGGGTGGTTCCATGGCTGTTGGCGAGCAGTGTATATCAGTGAAGATGACTCCACTTGGTTACAGAGTGCATTTTTGGTATATATCTCTCGCTCCAGCAAATTTCAGGATCCTCACCCAATGATTACGTAGGATAGGTACAGGGGTGTTTCCATTAGAAGTGGGTCACACTGTATATTGAAAACTATGAGGTTTAGCACCTGAATTGTTTCATACAAAAATAATCTATATTGAATTTAAAAAAAAAGTCCTTGAGTTTTTTCTGGAAATGAACAGTGGCGGAGGGAAATATAAGGGGAATCAATATTCCAATTTTGAAATATCTTGAAAAATATAGTTTCAAATAATTGTACCAATGAAATTATATATGTTAGGGAATCAGAAATCATATAATGAGTCATTTACACTATGTATGAAATGATGTAGGCAGCTCACACATAGACATATCAGTCCGGACGAGAAATCGAAAAAAAATTTGAAGCAGATTAAATAACATTTGAGTCAATGTTTTCTAGCTAATTCGACCCTGCTGAAATTGAAAGTGCCAGTTACCAACTTGAGATCCTAACCGGAATTCGGAAATGAGATATTCAAGATGGCGTCAAAAACGAAGATTAACGAATTCTCTGCTTCCAATGACCTTATATTATGAACGTGATGCAAACATCCAACTATATGGTCTTGGGTACAGGGAATTAGCACTTCTTCATTTTCAAACTTCAATGTAGATAATTTTTGTACAGAACAATTTCGGCGCTAAACCTCAAAGTTTTCAGAATATATCCAAAAAACTGCAAAAATAGGCCGCAATCTTGAATACCTCATTTCCGGTCATAGGATTTCGAGTTGGTAACAAGCATTTTCGGGTTCAGCATGGTCGAATTACCTATAGATTTGCTTCTAGAACTTTATTTTTCCGATTTCTACTCCTGGCTAAAATTTAAAATTGGTACTTACCTACCGCAATTATGAGGGATTTTTCTTACACACTCTGTATATATGACATTCCTTCCCATGTTTTTTGACTCAAAATAAGATTTTTTTCACGATGTTGCTAGGTACACTGGGCAACAGAAGACTTCACGTCTTTACAGTCTAGTCAACTACCTCATCGAACTCTGAATTTGAATAAGTATATATAGGGTGGCCACAAAAAAAAGGAAGTTTTCATTTTATAGTTATACAGTGCAATATTTGAAAATTCCATGATAGAAAGAAAAAACAAAATGGTGGAGTATCTCAAACATTTGTGATTTAAAAAAACCGCTGGAGAAAGTAAGTCAATCAGAACCGATGCAATTCTATATCATTTATTTAAAAAAAAATGAGAGCTCGAACATCTGAATCGAACAAATAGTCCAGGAAATAGACGTTGTTAAAAAGTGCGTACATCTCCTGGACTATTTGTTCGATTCAGATGTTCGTATGCTCATTCCCTATTAAAATGAATGATCTAAAATCAGCATTTTTCTATTCGCCAGCGTTTTTTGTTGATCTCAAAAGTTTGGGTTACTCACCATTCTACTTCAATTATGGAATTTTCGGATGTTTCACTGTGTACTACAGCTTTTCAGCTTTGAAATGTCTTCGAGAAATTCCAATTCGACTGAATTTTGATATAGCCAGAAGCAAAATAAAAGAAAATTTTTATTTCGAGTTTGGCATATTCAGTCCATAACATTGCCAAAAAGAACGTGTATCTCCTGGACTATTTATAGGGTTCAGTTGTTTCAGCGCTCATTTTTCTTAGAAATCAATGATCTAGAATTGCATCGGTTCTGATTGAAAGAATTAGCATTTTTCCATTCGCCAGCAGATTTTGTAAATCACAAATGTTTGAGATAATCCATCATTTTGTTTTTTTCAATAATGAAAATCTCCACTGTGTGTAATACAGCTTTTCATCTTTGAAATGGCTTCGAGAAATCCGAAATCGATTGAAATTTGATGAAGCCAGAAGCAAAATAATAATAATCGTTATTACGAAATTAGCACATTTACTCCATAACAAAATGCGAAAAAGTGATTGTATATCCTGGACTATTTGTTCGATTTTGATGTTCAAATACTCAACCTGTTCAGAAATGAATGGCCAAAATAACATTGGTGCAGGTTGGAAAAATGCTAATTCTCTTATTCGCCAACGGTTTTTGTGAATCACAAATGTTTGAGATACTCCACCATTTTGTTTATTTCAATTATGGAATTTCCAAATATTGCACTGTATACTATCGCCTTTCAGCTACAAAATGACGTCAAGAAATTCAAATTCGGTTGAAAAATGAAACTACGAGGAAAATAAAAACTACCGGGTTTTTT